AAAGTCCAAGATGGGAAAATACAGGGAACTACATGATGGAATGGGGGAAGGCCTGCCTGAAGAACCAAGTCTTCAGCTTGTTCTTAAAAACTCCCAGTGGGGGTGCCAGGAGAATCTCAGGGGCAACATGTTCCAGAGGCGAGGGGACACCACCAAGAAGGCCCGGACTCTAGTTCTCTCCTTCCGGGCCTCTCTTGGGGTCAAGCCCCTCAGCTGCCCAGCCTGGCTAGATCGAGTGACACGAGTAGAGCTAGGTGGAAGCAGGTGCTCTGCCAGGTATCGAGGTCCTAAACAGTTTAGGGCCCCATATATAAGCATTAATAACTTGAAGTCAATGCGGAAATGAATGGACAACCAGTGTAAGGCTGCCAGAGTGGGGGAAATGTGATTATGTTTTTTCACCCCAGTTAATAGTCTGGTGGCTGTATTCTGGACCATCTGTAGTTTCCACAGAAATCTCAAGAGCAGTCTCACATAGAGCACATTACAGTAGTCTAATATTGAGACTACGAGCACATGGACTAGAGTGGTGAATGCCTGACAACCAGTGTAAGGCTGCCAGAGTGGGGGAAATGTGATTATGTTTTTTCACCCCAGTTAATAGTCTGGTGGCTGTATTCTGGACCATCTGTAGTTTCCACAGAAATCTCAAGAGCAGTCCCACATAGAGCGCATTACAGTAGTCTAATATTGAGACTACGAGCACATGGACTAGAGTGGTGAATGCCGCAACATCAAGATAGGAGTGCAGCTGGGCAAACTGCCAAAGATGTAGATGGGTGGCTTGGACCACAGATGCTACCTTGAACTCCATGGTAAGCGGTGGGTCAAGATGGACCCCCAAGCTGTGGACCACACTCTTTGGGGTGAGAGTCACCCCCCCCCCAAAAAAAGAGAGGGAGCTTCCCAAACCACTGATAGGAGGAGCACCCACCCTCAAGACCTCCATCTTGTCAGGTTCAGCCTCAGTCCATTCTCTTGCATCCATTGCAGTACAGCTCCCAGGCAGCGCTCAATTTCCATTTATAGGAAGCCAAGAAGTGTCTTTCTGGTCTTCACACCTGGTAGAAACTGTGAAATATAATTTCAGAATACACCACAACACTGTCCTAAACATGAGGCCATATAAGTTCTTTAACAACATCTTCAAGAAGTCTGTGTTAGCTAGGTCTGCTGGGAGTTGTAGCCCAAGAGCATCTGGATCCCTAGATTTTGGAACCTCCACCCTTCATCAAGCTGCCTAAATCTTTCACCCTTTGGACAGCCCAACTCCCATCCTCTGCAGTCAGTCCAGCCCATGGCTTGGTAGGAGTGGTAGCCTAACACATCTGGAAGAGGCTACATTAAACTCATAAACTTTTTCAATAGAAGATGCAGGCAGTAACTAATTGAAATATTGACTCCTTCTTTGCCACTCATATGAACATGCATAAGAAGGGCCTGTTGGTTTATTTGAGAACTACATGGGCCTGTTCCCATTTTTTTCTTTGATTTGTCACAGCAAAAGAACTACATGGGCCTGTTCCCATTTTTTTTTTCTTTGATTTGTCACAGCAAGAGCAATAATTTTTGCCAGTTTGAGGCAGCCTTTAATTGCCTTTTTGTTCCAATTCATTTGTTGCAGAATACCAGGTTCAGGGAGTCCCACTCTAGCCACATCACCCCGTTTATCTTGGGTTGGTGAACCCAGGAGAATCAAACGTAGGGATGATTAGGGAACCTGCCTGGTCCCAGTGCCTCCCAACACTCTAGTCTACCCAGATTTGGCACTGCTTCCAGGGAGTTCAAGAACCCACAAGGCTAGGCACTCAGAACCATCATGCCCACCTTGCTTCATCTCAAAGTAATATGTACAAGTAATGGTTTAACCTTCCTTTCTGATTGTCCTAATACTTTGATGCATTCCAGGTTATTTGGATCAGTTATGTTGTATGCTATGTTTTGTACATGCAAATTGTAATTAGAGATGGGCATGAATCACACTTCAGTGGTTCAGCCTGGTGCAGCACACACTTCCCTCCCCCATCTCATCAGGTTATCACCCAATCATGGACAGCAACACACTTCAGTGGTTCAGCCTGGTGCAGCATGGTGCAGCACCCACACAGGTCTTCTGCGGGCACCACACACTTCCCTCCCCCACCACATCAGGTTATCACCCAATCGCTGACAGCAGCATGGGCTTCTCTGCCCTGCCTCCAGCCTGTGCTGCTGGTGTTGACTGGGTGATGGCCCAGTGAAGGTGGGGCAGGGAAGCACATGTCTGGGCCAAACCAGTGAAGTGCAGTTTGTGCCCATCTCTAATTGCAGTCCTCTCCTTTGGAATCATTCCTGGACAATATTTTTAATTAATTTCTACTTTGATGAAAAGTGCAACTATTAAGTTGAGTTTTGGGTCTGCTAATCCTTTTTTTTTTTTTTTTTGGAGTGTTAATTCTGTATAAATTGTGAATGTTGAATTTGTCCCGTTTTATGTGTGTTTACTTTTAACTCAGCTGGTAGACTTTTAAATTAGATTAGCATAGCCACCACGAGTTCCTACAACTCTTAAAAGCAACTAAAATCTGCAGTCATCACCATCTAAATGACTATGTTAGCAGCTAATAGTTCTAAGCTTTATATTTAATTTGGGAGCCACACTAATGGAACTAGCGTAGTGTATCATTGTGGGGCATTGCAATAAGAATGAAAGGGAATCTAATCAGGATTCTCTGTGTGACAATTTCTAAACAGACAGAAAGACAGGTTTCCTATAGCAATGTTGAGGCCTCCTGGGCCATATGAATTTTTTTAAAAAAACAAGCTTAATATCTTCCATGAAGTCAATTTCTATTCCGATTCACTAAATGTGAGTCAGCCATCAGTAGAAATGATTATAGGATCACTGCCACATAAAGTTGTTCTGAAAACCATAAGCAGTTCACGTGTTGTTCCTGAATCAGCAGATTTAATTTAATGTTATTAGGATATGCTGAATATTAAAAAAAAACTGCTGAAGATTTTTCAGAAGCTTTCAATGCTAAGACATAAAATATTTCTGCTGGGACATTTCTAATATAACAGAGGTTCTAAGTAAGCTCTGCAGGTACTCAATTCACCTGACAAGTCTCTCCCCAACAACTATGATACTCACAATTCTGTGAATGCCCTAAAGTCCATTGTGCAACTTTTCTATGAAGATCCCTAATTGGAATTGAGTCTTTTGGGGTTCACATAACATATATGAGGATGACATTTGGCCAAACTTTTTTTTTAATCTCTCCTCAAATATGTTAGCTCAGAACATTTCCAAGAGATGTTGCAAATATCACCTAAGGACTATATCAGGTGTATTCAACAGTGGAAAAGATATGCCACACAAAAATCTAAGAATTAGTGTAGAGCTGTGTTGATTTGCTCCTTTGTGTTTAATCATTATATCATCATTATTGTATCCTACCAGAATTCCCAGCTTCAAATCTGGAGAAGATGGGCCACCAACAAGAGGAGGAGGGTAGTTCCTGGAAGAAACAGACTAACAACATCAGAAAAACATTTATTTTCATGGAAGCACTTGGATCGTAAGTCTTGTTTTTGTTTTACATTGATTTATGTATGTAGACTTGGGTAAGTTTCCTATTGATCATAGGAAACTACTAATGTTCCAAAAGCTCTACTTCCACCCACAGGTAGCGGGTACTGAGTGCAACTCTTTACAACAGCCTTGATTCCCCAGGACTATGAACCAGTACATCTAGAAGAAAGAAAGAAAGAAAGAGAGAGAGAGAGAGAGAGAGAGAGAGAGAGAGAGAGAGAGAGAGAAAGAAAAAGAAAGAAAGAAAGAAAGAAAGAAAGAAAGAAAGAAAGAAAGAAAGAAAGAAAGAAAGAAAGGTGGTAAAAGTCACATACTCAACAGTGTAAGGCAAGAGACAAATCAAAAGCTGTGAAATTAATTGAATTTTATGATGAGTGGTAGAGCAGGGTTTTCTTTGTTATTTAATCTTGAAAAAAAGCCCTGTTCCTTTGCTTTTTTTATTTTGGTGAATGGTGGGGAGATCCGGCCTAAACAAAGTGTTGCAAACATATCACTACAGTGCACATGCAAATAGCACACCCCTCACAAGCTCAGCTTTCACTCTCCTCCATTTCATGAACATTTGAGAGCTCTCACACTGGTATCAGTGTATATGTAAGTGGGCACCTCAGTCAGTCCCAGGGGAAGTGTTCAGTGAGTGAGTTCTTCCAGGTATGCCATGTTGTATTTATTTGAATTCATTGTATCTTTTGAGTTTTGAATGTAAATGTATGTATATACACTACTTGTTCAATTTATAATTCCATTGGTTTTTAAGCCCATTATTGGGATATTCATTTACAATTACAACATAAAAAAAATAACAGTAACTATTTTGCTAATATGAAGGGTACAATTTATGGAAACAGGCTGCCAAAGGGTATGCAAATAAAGGTTGGGAATCACTACTTTACAACAATGGACCTTTTGCTTTCACAAGGCAAATTACATTCCTCTTTATGTAAGCTTCATTAAGTGTGGTTCTGTTAGTTCAACAGCTCACTGCATGTGCAGAAGGCTGAATCAAGATACTGCCATTTATATGTAACCTCTCCAAGTCTCAAGGCAGCGCACAAACCACTGAAGTAGCAATCAAAACTAATTAAAAAGTAATTGTGCTAGAAGGAATGTCAAACATCCGAAAAATATTCGTTCTGATAGAGACACATGGACCACAAGTATTTATTAATATTTATTTATTTATTTCAAACACGTTACAGCCACTCCCTTCAAGGCTCTAGACAGCATATTAGAATGAAAATATCTATCAAAGCTAATTAAAACAATCCGTAAGCTAATTTAAAATAATCAGCAACACAAGTCACACTACTTTGCATCCTGCAGCTATAAGCAATTTGAAAGAGGTAGGTTTAATCTCTCCCCTTTAAAAATCTGTAAGGCTAAAGTCACTTTGAACCATTGTTCTTCAGAGCAATACTAAGGGCTATCTTCCCTGCCTTAGATGTGCTCTCCTTTCATTAGTGCATGTACGCAAGGAACAACCTGCAGAATGTAATCAGCATTTATGACCAGTGATATGTGTCCCCAGGGTCATGAACTATACTAAGAAAACAGTGGGAACCTGTGATCATCCTGATGCTGTTGGACTTCAAATTACATCAGACCTGGCCAATTCGCTCAGTAGTCAGACACTGGAGTCAAACATCGTGAAGGCCATAGGAAAGTCTAGATAGCTAGGGATGTAAAAACTTTGCTTATTTTGTTCTTTCAGGTGAAGGTGAATTTTGATAGCTTCCCATGACCCTTGCAGGACTTTGACACATTTGGACATTCTTCAGAACAGTTGTCAGCTGCTGAGAGATTTTTCACTCCTACTTGAGAGTGAAAATATTCCCTTCTTTCATCTGTAGCAGCAGTGCGGAAATACTTGTCTTTTGTGCAAAAAAATTGCATTTAATGTAAGCAGGTTACATTCTATAGAAAGAACTATATGTTGTGCAACTTCCTTTTATTTTGTACAACACATTATTATTGGGGCAAAATACAACTTTTCTGCACTTTTTTTGAAAAATTTTAATTCAAGATTTTGGATTTAAAAAACCTTTTAACATAAATACAAGGTTTGGTACAAAAAAACCCCTACTCCACAATGTTTACAATGGAGATACCTTGTTTCATCAAGGACAAGAAATTTTGCAAATATTTGTGACAACTTTACAAATAGCCCATAATTAGAAAAGGGGGATATCAAAACTGCTGGAAGTATATTATAATTAGAGCAGGCAAATGACAGACAGGACCCCTCTTCCCCTCCACTTAAAAACATTGGCAATAGCAGGCCTCACACCAGCTCCAGCTTTTTATATACTCCTCCCCAGTCAGCTGTTTAAGGTCAGAGGGGAGGAAGAGAGATGCAGGTAAAAGCAGCCGCCTCACAGTCCAGACACTAGCAGGGTTTAGTCCTGAACAGAAGCAGAGGTCCAACAGGCCAAGAACCAGAGGTCCAAGTTCATCAGGGGAAGTGGAGGGACACGGCAGCAGAAATTCCTCAGCCTATCCACTCCCCTGCCCTGGCAGATGACAGATGCAATCCCTTTTCTCCATTCACTAATGCCAACAGTGCCTTGAGACTAGAGATAGGCACAAACTGCCAGTTCGGCCTTCCATGCCAGTTCAGCTGTCAGCCCAACAACTGTTCATGGTTTCAAGCTCCACCTCCTGTGGTGGACCCTCACTCAGGGGCAGTGCCCCAGCACCTCATCTTTCCTGCCTCACCTCCTCTAGGCACTGCCTCTCAGTGGGCGACTGCCAGAGGGCATGGGGCTCAGAGCTGCAGAACACCTTTTCAGTTGACAGCCAAACCAGCATGAACCGCTGAAGTGATAGTTCATGCCTATCCCTACTTGAGCCCTGTCAACCCTTGTGAGCACACTGATTAAAGAATCACATGGTTGTTATACAAATAACACAATTTCCTAAGGATCAAGGAAATAATTGAGTCACTATTCGATATGCTTGTTGACAGGGAAATGAAAATTATTGATAGTTTTAATTTTGCTTTTTATCTGACTAGCACAGCCCAACTGTGAAATCATAGCTTTTCATTTGTTAGGATGATTACATATGTGTATTTGGGAAGACGTTTATTTTTTATTAACACACATTCCATTTAAAAACCAATAAAACACAAACTTTCAGTTCCTAGAGCTATTCCGCCTGAGGACATTAATCTTACATCAGTTATAGTACAATTGACCAGAGTTCTGGATTAAGCAGGAATGACTTGAAGCAAAATAAAGAATGCTGGTTCAGGCAATTTTGCAACTGGCAGGTTCTCCTGATATTTTATAGGCATCTTTTCAGAAATTGTAAGTTTTCTGCAGAAAAAAAATGAAGTGGCAAAAGTGTTGGTTAATGAGTTCTCCATAGGGTTTTGGGGCTGGAAAAAAAAATCTCCCTCCCCCATATCCCTGATTTTGCCCAACACTGCCCTTCAGTGGCTCTTTTTTCTTCCCTTCTATTTGATAAACAAAATCTCTGTGGTACCTAAGAACAGGTTCCCCAGATCAGCAGCCACTTCGCTCTCTTGATTAGGAGTGCATAGCTGAGTAGCCAAACTATTCTCCTTCACACTTTGCATCCTCTTGATTTCTGTCTTGGCATTTAAGTGCCTCCAATATTGTACCACAAGTGTCATTCTTCCCCTCCCTCAAGCCAGTGAGGGGTCTGTCATTTCCTCAATTACACCTGCCTGCAAAGATTCATTTTCCTCATAATGGATTTTTAAAAACACTCAACTCGCTGCATCAATTTACATTTTTTCCAACACAGTTTCTCATTTTAAAGAATTCTGAAGAAAAACACAAAATGCTTAACAATCATACCTTTTAAAAATAAAACCACCTTGTTATTTCAACAGCAACTCGCATCTTTTACCTGCATGAGTTTACTAAAGTCTTGACATTATGCTCATGGATATATGTCCCATTTCAATATATTATGAAATGGGACAGGGGTTGCATTCTAATCTGAAAAACTACCAGCCAATTGAAAAGTATCTATGTATTCGCGAAGGCTTTCACGGCCGGGATCTAATGGTTGTTGTGGGTTTTTTGGACTCTTTGGCCATGTTCTGAAGGTTGTTCTGCCTGCAGAACACGTCCAAAGAGCCCGAAAACCCCACAACAACCATGAAAAGTATCTATTATTTGCTTATTGAAAAGATTTAGATTTCTCTAATTATGCAGAGAAGACTCCTTGGAAAAGACATTGATGTTAGGAAAGTGTGAAGGCAAGAGGAGAAGGGGACAACAGAGGTGAAATGGTTGGACAGTGTCATCGAAGCAACCAACATGAATTTGACACAAATCCGGGAGGCAGTGGAGGATAGGAGGGCCTGGCATGCTCTGGTCCATGGGGTCACGATGAGTCAGACACGATTAAATGACTAAACAAATTAACTAATTATGTAAAAAAATTATTCAGGAATAGGGATGCTTGAGGGTTTTGATTGACCAATAATTTCACTAACCCCACTAAATTTTTATTTATATTGTTTATTTAAAATATTTTTACCCAGCCTTTCTCCTAAAAAAATGACCCAAGGCAGCTTATGTCATTAAAAATGGAACACTGAAAGCTAAACACAGTAATATTTTTTTCAAATATGAAGAAGAATTAATAGCATTGTGTTAAAAATGTTATTTATATTTAAAAAGCATGTCTCAATTGGCATTTTCTAGATACATGCACAAGTTAGTCTCTTTTTCCACTTGTTGAAATCTAATTATATGGCTCTTGCCCTAAAAATATGCCAAAATATATATATTACAGGAAAATACATAGAAATAGTCATATTATTCACACTCCCCCATTTTAAGAAGCAGATTGCATGTGTGAGTTGGGAGAGCTGAGGCAGAAATGATGCTGGATGGATTTGTGAATGGATATGTGGAAAAACAGTAATGACTGAAAATAGTCTCCAATCCTGGCCCAAAATCAGCTTGTAACTAGTTCATTATGAAATAAATTCTGGAGTTCATTGTG